TATTTAACAGTTTTCATCCAAAATTCAATACATGAAGCTAATCGATCCATTCTAATACATCTGTACATGTATGCAATATGCATAAATAAATACGATAAAAATATTTTTTATTTATATTAAAACTGGTTCTTGTTAAAATTTTTGTGAATTTTTAATATATCCGAATATTAAATTAACTTCATTAATGCGACTGTGTTATTTGAATATTTTGTATTACTGATATTCAACATTTCTTAGTGTCAGAATAACACAATTTATGACTAAGTGGACAAATTGTCTAAAAATAATATATGTTAAAACATAAATTCTAAGATAAATGAATGATAATTTACATATTATAAATGTTACAATAATTTTACTGGAGAAATATGCTTCCACAATTTAATTACAAATTATGGCAGTGTTACATTTTTTGTGCTCATTTTTTTACATAATATTTATGTTACTTCCCAACACATTCATCTTATGTGAAATTAACACAAATTTGGGTAGACTGTTTAGGACACGTGAAATGTGTTAAATTTAACGTAAAGTTTTCCTTAAGTGTATGTACTTTCATTATCAAAGTTACATACAGTACATACATAACGTGACATATCACAAAAAGAAATCGTTGGAAATTTAGTGATGGAACAATAAATTATATGCGCTTCTCGCTTGTAATCAGTTTAACAGGACCATTGTAAGGCATAAATAACCGTGTCTGCATCTTATCGCCGAAATCGATCATAGGGCTGCAGTTGTACGTGCAATTATTGCTCGGCACAAAACCGCGCAGGTATAACGGCGTTCTTGTTCTTCGCGCAGTTCGCATCTACCGGGTGACAACTAATTCCCAGCGAACCCAGTTAAGCCTTTCTCGCTGGTTCCCGCGCGTAATTAGAAGGGACAAACTCCGAGGTACGCGAGTCTTCCGCTAATTTGCATTGGTTTAACAGCCAGTTTCAGACTACTTGGCGTCGCGTTACATGGCTATCCTCTAATTTGGGAGGACGACAAACGAGAATCGCAACACCTTAACCCGCCCTCTTTTTCCATAGATCATACCTTGCGAAATGCGACTTAAATCGTTTTCACTTCTCATAATCCTCCCATATCTCATCTTAAAAATATATGTATATATAATAAAAGATTTTAGTAGGCAAATAGAACAGCTGCCGAAAAAAAAGGCAATTGCGTTCAATACTCATTTAGAATGCTCCTACATTTATGCTTTAGGCATTATTTAAATTAGATTCTATCACGAAATATAAGATGAAAAAGATAGTATGAACACAACTTCAAGTTACTTAAGTAATTTCATAACGAGTGACTTCTAGTTTTAGTCATTAAATACATGTATTATCAACATATATCATGTATGTGTACACTAATATTGTCACGACGTATCATCTATTATTGTTTGTTAATAAAGACAATTACATTGTACCCCGTATTCTATCATAATTATATACGATTAATAATGCCGACTATTACTTATTAATAGCGGCGATATTATACATTTCGGTAGTAGCTGCTCTAGTATCGTTATCATTAATGGTGCTACTTGATACGGTATTATAATTTGCATATTGTAATATCGTATCACAAATTTGTCCCTACCTTCAAGTACATTAAGCTACTAATTATTGAAAAACATTTCTCACGTGCATTATTAGTGTAAATGTATATTATATTATTATGCGGAACGAAATTATATATTGTAAGCAAATAAATTGACATAAAGAGGGTTCATTGTATTAATTATTAAAACTTTCAGTTGTAATCTCGTAATTAGGAAACCAATATAATTTTCTATCTAATGTTTGAATTATACGTAGCATTAATCAAAACACTGCCAATAATCGGGGAGACATAAGCTTCGGTATACTTCTCGTTTTCCATTGCTATCTCCGGATTTAGGACTGACATCTTCCCCTTCTTCCTTATTGACCGCCTTTCCTACCATACAAACTTCATACTATGCTCCTGCAAACTTTATGTTGCAATAACGGAACGCCACTGGCAAAGTCAAAAATAAAATTGACAATTTACGGCGGTTGTACGATAAAACGAACATACATACAAGATGAGCTGTGTTTCTTAGAAAAATTGCCGATTTTTAAGAAAAGTAGGTATATTTAGATAATATTCTGATAAGATAGAAAATAATAAGGTAATAAAAGATTAAAATTAAAAATACATTAAAAATAAAACATAATATTTAATATAATTAATAGATATAATCTTAATATATCTTGAAGATTATAATTGTACATAATAAATACTTTGTTTCAATAGAACATTCGTTCTTGCCTATTGTAGAAATATAAGAGAATAAATAAATGCCGGTACATTCCACCGCAATGAAATTAACCTCATTTGTGCGCAATGAGTCGCAAATTGTTATTCTCAGTCGATAATCCATAATTATTCATTACGCTCATATAACCATAAATAGTAATTATTAATTTAGCCCAGCGGCAGCTTTTTGTGCACATTCGATCGAATGACACTTTGCATTTGTTCAAATTACGAGCCAATCTACGGTGGCACGCCTTTGGTAATAATAATTACTTGTAATAAACGATATATTATGCAAGAACAGAAGATATACCTTATAAGATGTTAATAATTGTTTCTCATAATATTTTTTGTGCATGATGTAGATATAACATTTTTCAATAATATTAAATAATTAATAAAGATTTATAATAGATTTTAATAAGATACAATGAAATATATAATTTAATATACGAAATTACGGATTATATTATATTGGTTATTATATAGAGACAATAAAACTTAAAAATATAATAATGTACGTGTCTTGATTATAATTAGCTTTGCATAAATTTAATAAAACATTTTAATAAAATAAATTTAATTTTATACATTGTATCAGTTAAAAATAAAATGTTATTATAAAGTTAAAATCTCTCTTTCAACATTATAAAAATTATAAATATATATCTTTTGTATACTTTTCGTTAATGCATTTATTTTGTAAAAATTGCGCTGAATATGACACGTGAAATGTTACAAATTCAAAAAATGTTGGAAATATTATTATTTTAATTATTTTAAAAAATAAAAATCGTGCATTCAAAGGAACGCACTTAATGGTTATAATGTTTTAGATATCCATGAAATGCTACGAGCTCACGGTTTGAAAGTTCGTAGAGTTGAAAACTGATAATAGTTTGATCGTAAAAAAGTCACAGATCAGGCAACAGCGAATCGCGCGAATCTTGATTCTAATAATTCATTGTGTGTGTCGTCTGATGGTGAATCTCCAGGGACAGGCTTCTCTAATTAACCCAATATCCACCAGGTATGGGCATTATAGCTGCTCTGTAGCCACGTGTTAATCCAATTGTCCCATGCGTGCGGTGCGTCACTCGCGAATCCTCGTGATAGATTCGAGATTTCGAATTATGAATTCTCTTCTCATCCGCGCGTCAATCCGCTTCTATTATTACAGTCCTGTGCTTCGTATTCTGAATATTTCTCTTGAAAACTACAATAAACTGGCACGGCTTTCTTTTCCCTTTTCTTTCTCGACATAGTGCAGCTAAATGAGCAATAATAAAAGAACGACTCTGCAAAATGCGTCACTGAGTGTCCCGCCGCGTCTCTCGATGCGAAATGATGCACGTGCATCAACGACCATTGCGTTTATCTCGCTTGGTCTCTCCCCGTTGAGGGTTAAAAAAGGCAAATAGAACTTAAAGAGAAAGAGAGAAATGCAACTTCGCTAACGTCAACATACGGTATCGCATCGCGTCTTCGCTTTCGTTTTAATTGTGACTATTCAGAGGCGTTTCCGTGACCGGCATGGAGAACACACGGCGCGACGCGTCGCGTCGCGTCGCGCCGAGCTGAGCGGAGCGGAGCGCGCTGGCCGTGTCGCATCGTGTCGGTGGACGCTGCAATAAAAGTCTCGCCCCGTTCCGCGTCTGAAGCACGCGCGATTAAAAAGGGCAAAATATGAATGCACCACGGGACGCATTCCGCCGAGCGCGGCGAACTCTTCTTTTTTTTTTTTTTTAGCGACCACCGTGCTGCAGTCCGAGGTCCATAGCGCCGTGTTTGTTTCTCTTCCCTTATTTTGTTCGAATGCGTTTACATTCGCGCGGTAGCGGGCTTTGGACATGCAATTCGCGCGAAACGCGTACGTCCGGACGCTGCTTATTGTCGGCTCGCATGAATTAGCCGAGCACGTGTTGAGGAGATCAAAGACAAAGAAGCGTAAACGTGTTTCGCCTATATGGCTACTAATGAGAAAAATCTAAAGCTTTTTGTTAAAATTGGAAAGAAAGTAGGAAAAACATTGCGAATTGGAATGCGGAAGAAATGTATGAGTTTTGAAAAGCTCTAAATAGCTCGGTTTCTCATTTTTAAATTCTTAAATTATCAATTCTCATTTTTGAATCATTTTGCTTGTAAATTTAATAAGTAATATCATTACTCTGGTTCTGCCTATGAATACGTTTCAAAATCGAAAAAGATTTCGGAGCACAGTTTATAGTTAAATATGTATATAAATTCACACGGAAATATTTAAGCACTAAGATCCGCTTTGAGAGTAACACAGAAATTTCTCTTATTTAATTAGATTTATTCTCATTTTTTAAATTAACTTATAATTTAAATTTAACCTCTCTACTTGATAACGTAAAAATTGTGTTTTTCTAGCTATGATTAATTATTTAACTAGATGGTTTTGTAGTAGTAATTTTAGAAATTACTTACCACAAAAGCATTTGTGATTAACTACAGCTAGAAAAATATACTTTTTACATTATTATCAAATTAAGTCTAATCATAAGTTAACCAGAAACTGAAAAACCAAGCCTTAGACAGGGATTTTATACTTATACTATTTATTATTTATGCTATTTATTAAATTACTGCTTTAAATTGCAGTTTATCTTTACAACAGCAATGCATGGCATCGCATTAAAGTAAATTAATATTATGATACTTGCTTATTGGAGTAAAGTTTGCGAGACATTCACCTGTCATAGTAGTAGTCCCTGAAACACATAATAAAAACAATTTATATTAGACAAATAATCGACAACAAACATATTATTATTTAATATTATGTAATTTTTTCATTCAGAATGACTTCATATTATTATATATTAATTGTTTATTTAAAGCAATAAACACCACAGGATGAAATATTTAACTTTGTGATTTTGTATAAACGCACAAGTGACAATTAAATTGATATAATATTGTTTACTAATGATCACGCAATATAAAAGATGAAATGCAAGCGTGAAAAACATTTACAAATTCGCGTCGACCGAAATATTCGAATGTTATTTCGCGATCTATATATTGCGGTGATTGGGTACGAATGGCGAATCGATTGACGATTACCAGAGCGTGTAATTTGAACTACAGGGTCCTCCAAAAGAGAACTAAATAACATTTACCATTAACTTGTATGATATAAATTTCAATTTCGTAATTCAACGTATTTCATTAAGTATATCTATTAAATTGTGTGACATAAAAAAGTGAATAAGAAAATAATACGGATATTTTTTTACATTTCATTGAAATGAAATGAGAATTTAAAGGAAGAAATAAATTTGCTTTGTATAACAATAATTTTTTTAATTGTCCGAGATCCTCTTATACATATATATAACAATTTTATTTGCAAAACGCAAATTCCTCGTAGAAAAATTGTGATTAAAATTCCAGTAAAAATAAAAAACACCTATTAGTCTTTTGATAACAGAAAATGTATTTTTTATACAGAAAATGTACTGTTTTATAAAAAAAAAACTGGTGTACAATCTTCAACATTTTTGCAATAATCGATTTTATACACGCCACAGGCGTCATAAATTACATTTCTACGATCGCATGAATATATCCACGTGACTTTTCGAGGTTTTCCGACGGAGGTTCCGAAGATTTTCAGACACGATGCCAGCAGAGAGCTGGCAAAACGAATCTCCTGGTAATCGAATCGCGTCGAACTTTAATCGAATTCGTCCTACGAGGAGCGTTTCGGTCAATAAATGCTCCATTAGCTGCAGTTTAAACGTGCGATTTCTCGTGGCAAAAAGGACGAAACGACGAAACTTCCCGCTACGAAACATTTGATAAAATGGTTGCGTTCTAATGGGAGATTGCCAATTACTTCGATGGTATCGTCAGTATGGCGATACATAAATGTGCTACTTTATTAACGTGTTTCTTTTCAAAAATATTGGAATTCAAATATGTCAGTATTAATGAACTTTGAGATTAATTTACTTAGATTCAAATGTCAGACGCTAATTTAAGCAAAAAAAAGGAGAGAGAGAGAGAGAGAGAGAGAGAGAGAGAAAATGTACATAATTTAAAACACGTTGCATTAATGTATTTACGACTTTTTTTCGCCGCATTTTGTTATAGTTTCTTATTTTATCCGCAATGTTACCAATTTTATGTATATCGTTGCTTTTAAACGCCCAAATATATATTACAGGGTAATCCTTTCGTCTGATAACGCAATGTTAAGCGGTGAAAATGCTTCCAGGGAAAACAAATAAAAGATAAAGACACACCTTAGAGATAACAAACGCTATATTGCCGCCTTCATTTTATATTTGTCGGTGTTAATACTGAAAGTTAATTAGTCAATAATAAAAACGCTTAACTACGGAAGTAACCTTTATTGTCTAAATAAATACGGAAATGTTTTAATAATACGCCTTTGGTCTTCTCTTATTTATGATGTTTCATCTGTGTGTGAGCGAACAAATCAACTATTAACGAATATTTTTCTTTATCGCTAATTCTTATGTTTTACGGTACTCTATATACATAATACGCGTGCTGAATAATTATGCTGACACACGTTTGTACGCAAACGATATTTTTTTTTATTTGCACATGAATTATAGAAAGCCCACCTTGCGCTTTTGCTCATCGATCCACTTCTCTATGTAATGCAATTAAAAGTAAAATGGTTGAAAATTGCGTTCAAGAATAATTATAAACTTTTATCGTTTCACTGGAGCCGTGATTGTGAATAGCGATGCGTGAACGGCATTCGTCGCCGAACGTTTTCACAACGCGTCACAGCGCGTCACATTGGAAAAATAGTTGGCGGAATGGCCGAAAATCGATCACGCATGAAAATCGAAAAGTAGAGGCACGTCCGAAACACGCGTGCTGCAGAATAAAAAGGACATCGTCCTAAACGGCCGCATGTATCGAAAAAAAAAAATGGCTCCGCAATTAGGATGTCGGGCACCAACCCTTTGTTATTTAAAATGCCTATAGTTTGGCATTCTGCTCTTTCTTTTTTATTTATTCAGTTATTCGTTCGTTGTCGACTGACGACTTTTCGTCGATCACGTACCGACATTTGCTCCTGTTCCATTTTTATCAAATCGTTTACTGTTTGACAAATTTAGCAAATATTACATGCAGCGACAATTGTTCGAATATGTTCAAACGTGCATACAAGATAATAAAAAGTCACGAATAAATCGGAAATAATATAAAAACAAAATATGATTGTAAGAAGAAAAACAAAATACGATTGCAAGAAAAATTAATTTAAAAATATAACTTTCGCGATGGTAATAGAAGAACTAATGAGAGTCTGAACTATTAGTACGTGATTAATTAGTAAATATGGAAAATAACGTTCAGGAACAAAATAGCTATGTTATTTTATTTAATGATGTTTTTTAAACAACACTGTTTTGCTTTTTTCAGATAATCCGTAAATTTGTTTTCATATATGGTTTTTTATTTAATTTTAAGAGTACATTACAATATAAATATAGCTTTTTTACGAAATGACTTTAGCATTTATATTTCATTATTTTACTCGAATGATTTATTCCAGTTTTTAACGTTACTTTTCTCTCATCAATTTGTTGATATTAACGTGCCAGTATCTCATTTAAGTAACATATTTCAAAGTTATATTGTTTATTACTGTTACTTCTCATCAATTTGTTGATATTAACGTGCCAGTATCTCATTTAAGTAACATATTTCAAAGTTATAATGTTTATTACTGTTATTTCAATTTGTTGATATTAACGTGCCAGTATCTCATTTAAGTAACATATTTCAAAGTTATATTGTTCATTACTATTATTTAGTTATATTACTATTTTTTAGAAATTAATTTATTAACAGCTCTACAATTACACAAGTTCTGCGCTCGGTGGCTGCTATTGTTATTATCATTATTATAGTTATTAATGCGATGTGCCCTCGTAACAATTATCAGTGGTGCATGTTCGCAAATTCAAAATTGCATTTATTACAGAAATTATTTATAAAGTGTGATCCACGCGCATCACATTGAAAAGGGAAGGTCGAGTAAAGGGAAAAGGAAATGCATGCCGATAAAAGCATGCAGTATTTTTGCGAATAAACGTTAAACCATTAGCACGCCTTTATGGTAGCCATTTGCTAACTGTACCTCCTCCCCTCCATTCCCTATTTTCTCTCTCTTTCCCGTTCACTAATTTCTCTCGCCAAAATTATCACCGTTATTCACACTATTCGTGCTATTTCGCCAGTTGACAACAGAAAGCGTATTTGCGGTGAACTGAATATTCCTCCATGAGATGATAAACGCAGAAAACGGACGCGTGCTCGTGTTTGTACCTATACATTTTCATATGTACGTATTTATTTAAATAAATATTTTCCTTTGCGAACGTTGCATGTTGTGTTTGGGATATTCAAACAGAATTTCTGTTCGCAGTATTAATTCTAAATTAGTTCGAAATCTCCGGATTTAATATCCGAAATTAAATCTTCTTTTTAATTCCGTAGAAAGGGATAACATAAAAGTAACGATCGAAATAACGTAAAATAACAGATGTTTATTCAACTTTTAAGACAAATTTTTTTAAATATTCTAAATACATTGTGAATTATAATAGACACTATCTTGCACCGAACTTGTTAACCGTATACTTCATTGTATATAAATTTTCTGTTTAGTATTCATGAACGTTGAGTTCTTAAGCATCTGCAATTAATCACATGAAATTACGCAAATTGTTTACAATTCGTGCATTATAAGAGGAGAAAATGGTGGAAAGCGGTTTACCTGACTATCGATCGATTTCTCGATTCCCAACAATGCAATTCCCGAGCTGACACCTTTCGATTCTCCATGATACGATTGACTCGTTATCGTAGCGTTATTGGCGAGCGAACAAAAGGGCGTCGATGAAAGGTGCCGCGACGCCGTACAGGCCACGAAGAACAATGGCGGAAGTCGAAGAGAAAGCCAGAGAGAAAAAAGGTCGGGAAAACTCAATAGCGACAGACGAGATCAAGATCGCGCGTTGGCGTCAATTTTCTTTTATTTCGAATAGAACAAAATCTTGATAAAATTATAAAATTACCACATGTGATATAGTTGTATTAATTCCTTGCATATTAACTTTTATAATTTATATGTCAATAATAGTCATTTTTTATTTAATCCTTTAATGCCGCACTATGGGAACAATACACTTGGGCATACCTAACTCAATTCGATTATTTATAATTTTCATAATAATAAACATATTGTAAACAATTTTTTTCAATCAAAACGTCAGACACCGAGCATATGTATGTATCTTTATTAATAAAATAACTAAGTATAAAAGCCTTTGCGATATGAGTTAGATCTTAATTAATGCTTGAATATATGTGAATTTTATGTCATATCCAATTCTGCAAACAGTGCAAACTATGCGCCGAAATATGAGTATTTTCAATTTTGAAATGCAACCCTAAACACAACTGACTTAGTTATATTAACAAATAAATTATTCGATTTTTAAGGTGCTTATTATAACATCAAATTATTAATATCCTTTTGAGATGCTTGTTAACATATTATTAAATTGGCTGTTAATTTAATTTGTGATATTACTATCCTAATTCAGTTTAGGATTACGTTTCAAGACTGAAAATATTTCGACGCGTAATTTATATAATTGGACATGTACATAAAATTCACACCGATATATGCAAACCAGCTCATACCGTATAG